ATGGCCCCCCAGCCGCAGCTGGAGGGGAGGGCGCGGGGGGGACCAGTCCTTCGTCACCGCGGAGTTACATGGGCAGGAGGAAGAAATAAAATGGAAAATGAGCCTGTGAGTGATACCTGCACCATAGCTGCCTCTTCATCCTCCTCTTCCTCCTCTTCCTTCTCCTCCTCCTCATCCTCCTCCTCGCTGCTTTCTGACTCCAGGATGGCTGCAGGGGAACCAAAAGCACCACAGAAGGTCACCAGTGGAGGTGAAAGCCCAGGAGGAAAGCGGAAAACTCCGTACGGCCGGACAGCCCGGAGCGGGAGGAACAGCCTGCATAAATCCAACCCGATAGCAAGCAACACTTCGACAGCGGCAGCGAAGGAGCTGAGGGCATCGGGGTAAAGGGGCTGCCCGGAGGAGGCAGGAAAAATCCCAGTGAGTGATTCTGGGCAAGGGAAAAGCCATCCCAGAGCGCCCTGCTGCCCTGGACCCATGTGCAATTCCCCACGGAGTGCAGCACATGGGCATGTACAGGGACCGTGTCCCCAGGGACAGTCACTGGCTGGGGGTCCTCAGGGTTGGGACCGGGGAGCTGCTTCATCCCCGGGTGGTCCGGGGTCCTCCCATCCTCCTTCCAGGGTGGGGGGCTTGCGGGGGGTGACTGATCACCCCCGGGGGGTGATGCCAGAGGGGCTGCGGTGCATCACGGCCCCGAGGGGCAGCGGGGCAGGAATCCGGCACCTGCCTCCGACCCTTCCCATCACAGCCCTAATCTGGTGGGGAATGCGCTCTGGAATCTAAATCCTCCCCCCCGGGTTTGTAATCCAGCCTCTGCTACCGTGACCTTACACTGCCTGCAAGGGCTGGGGGTCCCTGCAGGACCCACAGGATGGGCGTGCTGCTGCCGAGCAAAGGCCCTGGGACCCGTCTCTGGGACCCTTCTTTGGGACCCTTCTCCAAGACCCTTCTTTGGGACCCTTCTTTGGGACCCTTCTCTGGGACCCTTCTCTGAGACCCTTCTTTGGGACCCTTCTTTGGGACCGTTCTTTGGGACCCTTCTCTGGGACCCTTCTCTGGGACCCTTCTTTGGGACCCTTCTCCAAGAGCCTTCTTTGGGACCCATCTTTGGGACCCTTCTTTGGGACCCTTCTTTGGGACCCATCTTTGGGACCCATCTCTGGGACCCTTCTTTGGGACCCATCTCTGGGACCCTTCTTTGGGACCCTTCTCCAAGACCCTTCTTTGGGACCCATCTTTGGGACCCTTCTCCGAGACCCTTCTTTGGGACCCATCTTTGGGACCCTTCTTTGGGACCCTTCTCCAGGACCCCTGTGCCTGGACCCCCGTGCCAGCGGCGGGGCTCGGGCTGTGCAAATGGTGCTGCTCCCCCATGGCTTCAGCACTTGCAAGGCGAAGCTGCACGAGCGTGCAAACACCACCAAAAGCCAAAACCACAGCCTGCAGCTGGGGCAGGCACCTCCCGCAGCCCAGAGCAGCAAAGGGACGGACAGACGGACAGGCAGGCAGATGCACTTGGTGCAACCCATCAGTCATTGGCTTCTCTGCGACACGGTGCTGAGCAGAGAAAATCCCTCTCCAGGCCTGGTTCTGGGCTGGTTTTGCCCCCCTGCAAACCATCTGGTTCAGCCGGCGGCACCCACAGGCCACGGTGATGGTCACG